AAAAAAAAAAAAAAAGAAAGAAAGAAAAGAAAAGGTACAATGGGTAATAAATATTGTAGCCCTAATAGAGAAGTGAATTGTTAATATGTTTGTATGATTTTTTTCCATTCTTTGATTTTATGTGAACAGAAGGAAACATTTTATTGTAGGAGGTAAAATACCTTTTAATGATCTTTTAAAGTCACTAGGCCTGGTGGTACAGGCCTGTAATCACAGCTGCTTGGGAGGTAGCAGTAAGAGGATCACAAGTTCAAGGTCTGTCTGCAGGGCTTAGTGAGACGGCCTCAACATAAGAAGTAAGAGGAAAGAGGTGGTAGCAGCACTCACTTGCTGTGTGTGGGAGGCCCTGTTCACTCTCTGGTACTCAAGTGTTCCAGAAAATCCAGTTTTATTGTTAAAGTCCTAATTCACACAGGAGTGAAGTTCTGTTCGGATTGTTTCCGATATTTATGTTTATGAAACATTCAGTTTATACTTCGGACATAATTAACAAGATTATATATTATACATGTATAATGAGAAGATTAGTATACCATTAAAATTTGCAGTCTTTTCAGGCATAGTAGCTCATACCTGCAATCTGAGTACTTGGAAGGCTGAGGCAGGAGAACTGCTTTGAGTTTAAGGCCAGCTTGGGATATATAGAACATTAAGGGTAGCCTGGGCTATAGAATGAAATACATTCAAAGGAAAACCCAAACATTCACTCCCTCCTAGCAGTGTTTTCCCGTATGCGGTGCTTATTGATTCAGAGGGTCCGTTTCCTTTATATATGAAGTGGGGCTATGGTTATCTAAAATTATTATACAGTTAAAAATGAGTCAATCACAGGACCTGGTTCACATTGAAAATACTGATACATGTCTTAAACAACCCATGTATTTTCTGTATAAGACTGCCTAATCCTGAAAAGCAATTACATAAAATTGACTTGTCAGCAGCAGTACTGCATGCCTATAATTTTAGCTACCTGGGAGGCTGAAGCAGGAAAATTATGTTTAAGGTCTAACCTAAGCAGTTTAGAGAGACCCTCTCACAAAGCAAAAGGGCAAAAGGAATGCCTCTAAGGAGTAAAGATCGATGAATAGAAGTATTAAAAAGGGCAGCTTTCACCTCAGCTCTGCTAACCATGGAAGGGCGTGGTCCTTCCACCAGCTCTGGAAAATGTTTACTTTGCTAGGGCGCTGTTCAAATAATCTTTCCTTATATTGTGCTTAAAGATTAATAAAATACCTTCCACCTGTTACTCATCAACCTCCCATGGCTTTTGATTGTTTGGTTGTTTTGTTTTGAAATAGAGTGTTGCTATTAACTTTAGCTGGCTCTGTAACTCAGGCTGACCTTGAACTCTCAATCCAAGTGCTGAGGTTACAGGCATGTTCCACCAACCCCTGGCTCAGCACTCTTTATATATATATTTTTAGCAAAGAAGACTTAGTTCTATTCCTTAAAAAGTCATTACTAAATGTATACAGGTAAAGTTGCCAAGCTTAGCACAAGTTGAAAATCAAACTGATCATTTCTAAAACATTACCATTTTTAAAATAGTTAGATGGTTTCTCATTCTCCAAAGGTCTCATCTGCCACAAAGTTGGTACCTGATAGCTTGTTTAACCTAGAAAACGCAGGTGTTGAATTCGATTAGTCAAATAGTCAGAAGACTGATGTTATGGGTAGCAGCCTGGAACTGCCTCCTCTTCCTTCATGAGCTTAAATTCAGATGTTATGATTAGTTCCAGATTTTAAACTTTTAAAGACTGGATATCATTTAATAATCTGTATAGTCATGTTCCTTGGCCTAAGTTTGGCCTGCATGTTACTTAGTTTTTATAGAACATAAATTTACAGACTAGTAACAGAAGTAATAATAAAATTCTTAATCTTCAGTAAACTTAAGAATGTATTGAAGAAGAAAGTATAGAAGTCATTCAAAGTGAGAGACAGCTAGGTATCTGAAATTCGGTAAAATGTGGCTGTGTGACATGCCCAGTCGAGATGACGCTAATGCCATCGTAGTGCAGCTGTCTCCCTTGAGATTTGTTTGTCTTTTTCCCAGGGTTGTTGTTGTTGTTGTTTGTTTGTTTGAATATACTTTCTGTTGCCTCATTTTGTAGTCCGGGGGCCTTGAATTCAGAGTCATCCTGCGTTAGCCTCTGAGTAGTGGTATTACAGGCATGAGGTACCTCATCTAGCCTCTCCTGGCTCTTTACCAAAAGTTTGTAAGTGGTAAACCAAAACTCTTTCATCTGGTCTTTCTGTGGCGTCTAGCTTCTTCGCACCACTTGGGGTGTAGGTAGAGGAAAGAGTGTGCCCGCTGGCTGCCCTCTGCTTCATCCTGAGGCTGCTGCCGCCTTGTTACTCCTTAGGGAAGCACCGCTTGCCGTGGCCCCAGGCCTAGCTTGTTGCTTCTAAATTTGGAGGCAAATAATAGGTTGACTTGTATTTTAAAAGGAGCAAGTTTTCAGAAATTTTACTTGTAAGAACCCAAACCATGTACTGTCTTATAAAATTAGCAATATTTGGAATACTTCTGTCTCGGAAGAGGCAAAGGCACATCCTCCGCACTGATGAGACACCAGCTGACAGAGTGCATGTCTTAGAGATCACTGTTGCTGTCTGGCCGCTCCAGGCCCATTCCGGAAGTGCAGAATGGGCCTGCCATTTAAAAAGCCCAGTCAATTAACTTAGTTAAGGTAGAGAAATGGTCCTCATAATAAGTATGGTAAAAGTCAAATATTTAAAAATTTAAATATATAGTTAGTTACATTTTTAACTTATACAAAAAACTATATAGTATATGTCAGATGTTGCCCCAATTTAAATTTTACTTTTTTTGTTTTCTAAATTTAAACTTTTAAATAAAACCTTTAATGATTCACATAGTTAAACCATGGACATATATTTAATTTAAAATACCAAGCAGTTCTTGCACTGCAGAGTAATGATCTCCGTAATCCAACTACTTGCCTTCTTTTGGCATTTTTGAACTTGCTATGTGTTTGAAGGTGGCCTTTAATTCCTCACCCTCCACCCCCACCTCCAGGGTGAGATTACAATCATGGTCCACCACACTTGACTATTAGCATTCTTAAAAGTTTGGTTAAATATTAAGCGGTTTGCATTTGGGGGGCTGAAATGAAGCATGAAAGGCAATGGTTTGGAAAATAAAGGCCACAGCAGCAACATAGATATTTTAAATGTGGAATGCTCTTCTCCATCTATAGCATGTCTATATAAAAACAACTGCAATTCTGAAGTAGAGATATTCAGACTTTTCCCCAAAGGGCAAGATAATAAATATTTTAAGCTTTGCTGGCCAAGAGGTAAAGTGGAAAATATTGTACAGGCACTTATATAACTATTTAAAATATAACCATTTAAAAATGAGAACTGTCCTTAGTTTAAAGGTCATAAAAAAACAGCTGACCAAGACTTAACATAAAAGCAGTTTACTGATGCCTGCTTTATAACAAATAGTCACAGAGAGAACCCAACTGTATCTATTATAATGTCTTTACTGGCAGAAATCCAAATTTTAAAAAACAGGTCTTCTTTGTCTAGGATAAAAACATAAACCATTAAATAGAAAGTAAACTGATAACAAAATACATTGTCTTCACTAATGGTGGTATTGAAAACAAGTAAAATTGGTATGTTTATTCCTTCTCTAATTTCACATGCTAGATTTGTAAACATCAGAATGTACCCTGGGAATGAGAGTACCTGGATTTTCTTTCTTTTCTTTTGTAGACAGGATCTCATTGTGCATAGCCCTGGCTGGCCTGGAACTCCGCTCCTGCCTCCAGAGTGCTGGGATTGAAGGTGTGCAGCACCATACCCAACAAGCTTTTTTCTTAGGTCATTTTCATCTAAGCTCCTCTCACAGCGCCAGTTCCATCGTGGAGTCAATGGAATGAGGACTTTTCTTGCTAAACCAAAGAAGAAAACAAAAGTACTCTGAAAAAAGACAAGCAAATGAGGCTTTGTGAAGTCCTTACTTGGTGCACTGGATAGCTAAGTTGTTATTGTTCTAATGAGTTTGTCCTAAGGATTTAAAGCATTAATCCCATATTGCTCCATTATTTTTAAAGTACATATCATTTGCATAGAAATTTTGGTCCATCCAGCCTTTCTGGACTCTGTGGAGCCAGAATTCTTTGTCTATAAATATACCGGCATATCTTCACTCATTATAACTGAGTCATTTAATGATTCCACTTGCTTTATTAAAGAAAATTGCAGAGGAAATCATCAAAGAGGAAAAACTAGGGCTCCTAGGGAGTTAAAAGCCCTGATACTCGGTTTCTTGTTCCTGTTTTGTGGTTAGGACAAATGAGTCAGCTTCACTGTTTATTTCCCAGAGTGTAGTAGTTCAGCCTTGAGGTTCTCCACTGGAGGTGTTCAAAGTAAGTGCTGCGCTCCCCACACTGGCAGGATTAGAGCTGATTTACTGAGAAGGGAAGGAAGGGATTCAGTGCAGTCATCTTCTGTCTTCACTCAATGAGCCTGTCTGCTGCCTGCACGTCGCTATGGGTGACGTTCCTCCCTTCATGGACGCTCACAGAGGGCAACAAAAGTCCTTGAGATGAGATAATTGGTAAAAGTGGGGACTGATGCTTTGGAATCCTCGTAAGTGACTTTAGCTTTGTGTTCCCTTCACTAGATCTAATGTCAGAGGAACAACAGTAGGTGATAGAATAATGAGGTAATGCAGAGTGCTCCTTCCTTTCTTCTTCGTGATGGACTTAGCAGGTCCTCTTTTTCCACGCTAACCACCTTTCCTATTAACAGTGAATAACTTCCTCTGACCTCACTGAACTCTTAGTGCTAAGCATTGTAAACAGGCTGCTTTTCACAAACTATTTATCTGCATGTGCTGCATGGGAGCAGAATGACAAGAAATTTCCTGTGTGCAGATGTAACTGCATCGATTGCAAGTGTGGTGACAAGGAACTGTTGTCTAAAACGGGGTCCTTCAGATATTGGTTACTTGCTTTGATAGTTGGTTGAAGAATGCAACTCATTTCTTTAAATCCTGATTGGCGTAATAATTGGCAGTTTTGTTATTCATATATACTTTTCTTCAAGTCTAATTCTGTGCTAGGTTTTAAGATTCTGATTTTTCAGTGCTATTTTCTTATCCGTAGCTAAATAATTTAAGAATATCACATCCCAAGTTGATATACAATGCTTAAACCCATCTCTAATTGAAAAGCTGGCAGCGGCACACATCTTTTAGTAGAGCATTAAAGTGAGCCCCATATATTCTATCGGTCATCTACCCAAGCCTGGCTACTGAAAAAATTAGTCAAACTAAGAAGTGGCATCTTTTGCTGGTATTATCAGTTTCTAAAACAAAGTAGTACATAAAATGTTTAGTAGTGATCAGAATATAAAAGTAGATGCTTTCCTATATGGAATACAGAAATTGTAAGATAAGCCAAAAATTACCATAAATCTATAGTAATCTCTCTTAGAAGGTCATCCTCAGGATCTTGAAGTGAGTCTGAATTCATTTTTGCTTTCTACAACAAGTTTTGTTACTATTATTCTATGGCTGTTTGAGGGCACACATGCTGCACTGTGAGTGTGGCAGTCAGAGGACAACTTTGTGAAGGAATCCCTCTTGTCCCTCCTCCTTCATGAGGGTCGGAGAGAGCCTGTCCCGCTCGGCAGCCACCGCGCAGGCCTTCGCTTTGTCTTGGCTGCTGCTTGGAGGCTGCTCTGACATCAAAGTGTTTTTGGAGTCAGTTATTTTGCAAATGCTTCTATTACTGGCTGTCACCTTTTAATTTAATGATGCCAAGATGGAATTTATTTCAGGGCTTTTTGATGTTCTTAACTTACTAAACTTTATTCCAAGTATTCAACGCTGGTTTCTGCTTTTAAAATGAAGATTACAACTAAAAAGTATCATGTTGCTTTAATTGAGTCTTCCAATGGCTAAGACCATAGAAGTAAACAATGTGAAAAAGAATGATGATATTGAAACAGAAAATGTCACCATACTTCTTCCCCTTTGAGAGAATCAGGACTCATTCTCCACCTGTTTTTATGTAGAGATTCCTTAAGTAAATTTCTAATTTTAAGACACACACATACAGCTGCTCTGTTACCCCTTTTATAAATTTCTGCTGAAATGCATTAGAAAAATAAAATTATCACAGATATGACAGCTCTCACAAGGGACTGTGTTGTATTTTATAACTATGCCTTACTGTATTGCAAATGCTACATACCATATTATCTATTTCTTTAAATAATAAATAAAACAGTGGTTGTCTCTTCTCTTTTCCTCCTGTGATATTACCCTGTCTCTCAGTCTGTTGACTAGTCCCCACTCCCTCTCTCCAGTTTCTTCCTTAGATGTACTTTTTTTTAAGAAGGATTGGCCAGGATGGAGTGTTCACAGTCCCACAACCTGGTGGTCTCCTGCATTTAGGAAGTCACCATTGTGGTGCTGGGCACCCTGTGAGCATAGCTCAAGCAAATACCCTCTTGCCTCTGCCTCCAGAATAGCTGGGACTACAGGCATGCACTATCATTGTCCTGGACTTTAAGTTTGTTTTATAATCAACTTCCAAGTTCCACACATAATCCCCAGATGATGGTTTTAGTTGTAGTAAATACATAAATTTCAGTAAAAGGTGACTATAATACAGTTCTCTTTGTATTTATTTAAACTTTTTAAAAGTGTCTTTCAGTGGCTGGGAAGATGGCTGAAGTGCTTGTTCTGCAAGCATTGGGGGCCTCAGTTTGGATTCCCAGCATGCACATAAGAGTTGGGCACATAGGCATGCATCTGGAGCCATAGCACAAGGGTGGATGGAAACAGATGAATCCCAGGGCTCACCAGCCAGTGGGGCTAGCTGAAGCAGGAGCTCCACTTTCAGTGAGAGACCCTGTCTGAAATAATACAGTGTACGTGGCTGAAAGAGACACTGGAGGGGACAGGCACAGCTGGACACACACAGACACTCACAGTAGCATTTTGTAATTCTGTACAAAGAAATTCTACAAATATTTTATAGGAATTTTAATTTTTGTTGCTGTAACAAATGTGTTCTTTCACATTTTTATGCTAATTGTGTATTGCTGGTTTTTAGAAATGCAGCTGACTTGTATCCTAATTGTCTTTCCAGCCACATTACTTTTCTAGTATTTCTATTAATTAGCCTATAGGTTATTTTTCTTTTTAATGTAGAAATTAGATGACCTACAAATATAAATTTTCTTTCTCCTCCATTTTTTCCCTTACTGTGGTAGCTAATCATGGTCTTAGGAATCACACCTTACTCGTGGCTATGGGAAGAATGCCCCACAGGTGTGTCTAGGTGGGTTGTTAGGGCTACTGTGAATAGTTTATAGAAGGTTCCCAGTGTTCCTTTCTGTCCAGTTTACTGTGGGAACAGTTTCCGTCATGAATGAGGCTTGGCTCGATCAGACACATGTCACACTGCTGAATTACCATGTGTTTGTTTCAGTTTTTCCCTTAATCTATTAAATGTTTCTCCCAAATAGAATAACTGATTTTATTCATTAGTGCTTTGAAAGTTCTGGATCAATTAATTACATATGCTACTTTAGTCCTTCAATAAGCCAGCTAGTCAGATCCTCAACCACTGAGCTCTCACAGCTGTTGAGCAGTTTTGTGAATGCTTTTTAATTTGCCTGGATAGCTTAGAGTATACCAGTTTTTATTAAGAACAATATTTTTAAATGGAAATACGTAATTGTAACACAGTTATTAAGAATTCTCATTAACAATTTGCTGTTCCCAACTCCTTTCTATGAATACATAAATTTGTTTCTGTGTGACCATTTAAATTAATGTCTAGTCTTTATCAGTTACAGGTTTTAGTAAGGAGGTATATATTTGTATTTTTAGTTTTCCTACAAGACTTTTTTTTTTTTTTTTTTTTTTTTTAAAGACAGGGTTTCTCTGTGTAACCCTGGCTGTTCTGGAACTCTCTATGTAGACAAGGCTGGCCTCAAACTCACAGAGATACTTCTGCCTCTGCCTCCCAAGTGCTGGGATTAAAGTGTGCACCAGGACCCAGCTTCTCCAAGACTTTTTTAATATGTAAAATTGCTAAGTCAAAACTTTATGCATACTTTAAATTTAATATATGTCATTTAATTTTTTTCAAAATATTATGTTGTGGAACTCTAGTATACTGCTGGCAGGAGTATGAATCTGGGCGATCATGTTGCCAAACTGGTTCTGATTACTGTAGCTGAAGCTTGTGCACACACTACAGTGCAGCATTCACTCTTAGGAAATAGCCAACATGAACATGTGCCATGTGCATATGTTCACCAAAAGATATGCCATATGGTGATGGTAGCCCAGTTTCAGTCATCAGAAACTAAACAACACAGTAAATAAATTATACTTATGCAAAGTAATACCTTATGGGGAAGATGATAGGTGAACTTCAGGCAGCATAACAGCATGGGTGAGTACTATAATGTCGTGCTAAAGAAGCTGACCGTGTGCTGAGGAGATGGCCACACTAGCTCAAGGATCTTAGGTTGAATTGCGAGAACTCCGGCAAAGCCCGGCACAGGAAATGTGTCTGTAACCCCAGTGCTCCTTCCTGGAGATGGGAGGTGGAGACAGAAGAGTCTATGGGAGCTCCCTCCGGGGCCAGGCCTAGCAACACTGAACAACAGTAAAAGAGAACCTGCAGACAAGGAGCATGAGCTGTGCTTGTCCTCCGACTGTCACACGCATTTCAGAACACACAAGCTGTGTGTTCTGGTATATGAGTCCATTGAATTCAAACCCACAAATAAAACCACCATATCAGAGGTCAGAGAAGTTGTCTTTGAGGGAAGAGAAATGATAGAAGGCTCGGGAGACTTCTGGATGTCTAATGATGCTGTCTCCAGTATGGTGCTGCTGAGGTCAGCCTGTTCTGTTTGAAGACCGACCGCATAGTCCAAACTCTTGCCACACCCGTAGACTTAAAAATATTTTCAATCTGATAAACATAAAAAGAGAAGTTTGTTTATTGATGAGACAGACTATCATCTCATATGTTTTTCTTACCGATTTATAGTTTTAAATCTTACAGACTTCCCTTCTACTGTATGTCAAAATGTGATGTTTTAAATGACAAGTAAAAGCTCCAGAATTAAGTAACATTGGGTGTTAGGAGAGCACTCCCTTAATAGTAAAATCAACCCTAGAAAGAATACCCTGTTCATGAGTAGCTACTGCTGCCATCAGCTCCTTTGTAGAGAGAATGGAATCTGCCTGCTAGCTGTAAATTTCTCCTTTGGTGCGGAGCCATAGAAAAGAGACGCTACTTGGAAGTCTTCATTTTATCTCTTACTGATGTTCATTATCCTCTTGACTGGTCTGCACTTGGAACATTGTTAAACTATGTAGAATATTAGTGCCACTGTTCCCATGTTACTCAGTTTCTCAGGGGTTCTCTTGATGGCCTTTGTGAAGAGAAACACATAGAAATTGAGCAGGACATTGGTTTTTTGTTTCGTTTTGTTTTTCTTTTGAGACAGTGTCTCAAAATTCACTTTGAAGTCAGAGCTGGTCTTGGGTTCCTGATCGCCTCTGCCTCCCAAGGGTGTGACTCCTGGCCTAGGCCACCAAAGGAGGCAAAGAGAAGTAAAATTGCACATGAATTTTGTCTGTCTGATTTTATAGAATAGTACTTTAGAAACTACTGTGTCGCATGCTATTTTCTTTACTTTTTCAACCAGTACCAATTTCCTAAGTGATCACTGAACTAAAATATCTTGTAGTAACTCAACTACTATGATGAAGTCTGCCTTTTTATGCTTTTGATTGGGGGTGCTTTATTAAAATAATGTGTTTGAAATATAGAATTACTGCATTTTGATGTTTTTCATTATTATTCAGAAGTTGCCTGTGAATGTTTATTTTTGGTTTTGTTTTACTATGTAATACACAGACGCTCTGCTGTCGCTCGCATTCAGGAGTTCTTCAGGAGGAGAAAAGAAAGGAAAGAAATGGAAGAATTGGACACTTTGAACATCAGGAGGCCACTAGTAAAGATGGTTTATAAGGGCCATCGCAACTCCCGGACAATGGTACCAGATGCTCATGGTGTTCTTTGATGAGACTGAAGTTTCATGGGTTCCCCCCCCACACACACACACACACCCTGTGGTGATTTTGTTACTCCTTTATTAAAGCATGGTTCTTTTTGTCCAGTAATATATTGCAAAAAAATTCTACCATACTAAAGAAATATATGTGTTAGAAAAATTATTTTATCTTAGAACAAGTAGTTAGTGCTATCTATCTGTCTGTCTGTCTGTCTATCTATCTATCTATCTATCTATCTATCTATCTATCTATCTATCTATCTATCTATCTATCATCTATGCTTGCTGTCCACCTCAGAAATTTACTATTAAATTTTTTTAAAGCTCATTTGACTACATTTCACTATTTTGGAATGAGAAAATAAATCTGTACACAAATCCAGGTTGAGTATAAAATTCAGATACACTAATTACAACACCTTTTAAAATAACAGCTAAAAATTGGCTTTGGTCACTCTGTCTCTCCTTGCTTTAACTCTTCATCTTTGAAACGGACAGGATGGACCAGGAGATCTGCAAGATCAGTGTTATGTTTAAAACCCACAAATCTGCACGTCCAGTGCAGGGCAACAATCTAGCTGTTACTCTAAACCATGCCTATCTAGAAAGTGTTCTGTATGCCTATAGTGTTACCACAAAGTACTGCAGATCATGTTTTACCTTCTTGAGGGTCTAGGTAAAAAATAAACTGGATTGAGGAAATAATTAGCTGTATATGTCATCAGTAGTAATAATTTCATCATTTTTAAATGGATACTCATTATTAATAGAAGTAACCAATTTGCATTTTATGCATTTTGCCAGTTAGAATTTTAGATTAATGTAATTAAAGGGTAGCTGAGTGGTCGAGTGCACATGGCCCCGAGTTCATGGCTTAGTACAGAAAGAGATGAGAACCCAAGGTAGGCGTGTGCAACAGCGTCACCATGTGACGACGGGGTCTCTCCTTCCCTGCTGTCTCGTGTGAGCACCAGAAACAGCAAAAGTAGCAGCGGCAGGGGAAATGATTTTAAAGACGATGTCTGAAGTGTAAAGATCTTTTTACAGTCCTTCCATGTATGTTTATTAAAATAGTATGGCTATTTAGTATTCCAGATTCCTTTGTCTGCTTGCTTAACTAAAGATATGTTTATCCTTCCTTCTCAATTCTGTGGGCTTCTAACAGTTAATGAAAAAATACTTTTTGTTCTTGGCAAAGTACAAAAGGCAACAATTCCTTTTTCTTATGAAATGTTTTTATTGTCTTATAAAGCTAAAATGAGATGATTTTTAGAAAGCTCATCTATATGTATATATATTTTTTCCATTATACTGTTTTAAGCCCAGAAATCTTATTTACTTGGTTAGCGTGTGTAAAGTACTTGTTGTGTGTCAAATACATAGCAAAACCTGCTCTCGGGGGTGGGGGTGGGAGTTGGGGGGTGGGGGGGGCAGCTTCCCATGCTTTGCTGTGATGTTATCCCCCCCAGTGAAGTGCTCTTATGATTTTAAGATTCTTACGAGAAAAAAACCTTCAATATTTAACTTTTTTATTTTTAAAACCAATTCATTTTCACCATGGGAATGGAATCTGTCTTTGTTTGGGTAACTTTGACTTAGATGTCCTTGTGTTTCTTAAAATCCCTCAGATAAAAGAAGCCAATTTCTGGGGTGCTAACTTTGTAATGAGTGGTTCTGATTGTGGCCACATCTTCATCTGGGATCGGCACACTGCTGAGCACTTGATGCTTCTAGAAGCTGATAATCATGTGGTCAACTGTCTGCAGCCTCATCCATTTGACCCAAGTAAGATATCTCTCATAGAACAAGTACTGGAGAGTGCTGGTACCATTCCTCAGCTGTGTCAACACTACAAAAGTCTCATTTGTCCTACTAAGCACTACTAGAGAAAGCTATAGTTCTTCATGGGTTTAAAACAGAGAATTTGCTTTTATGGATGGGAGAGCGGTTCACAGAACCCCACCCCTAGCTGAGAAGATACTGGCAGTTGATGGCTGCAGGTGGAGGCAGAGTCAGTTTTCCCGGGGATATGGCTTCTGGTAAGTTGCCCATGCTAGTGGATGGCCCAAACCCATGCACGTCCTGGCAGCAGTAACTGGATTCAGTGGATTTAAAAGTGAATACACACAGTTAGGAGAGAGACATGAGTGGCAGTCTGGGAAGAGTTGGAGAGAAGGGAATAGGGAATGGATTTGATCAGAACATTTTGTATTCATGTATGAAATTCTCAAAGGACAAATAAATATCTTTAAAGGTTCTCAGCCTCAAAAAGAAAGAAAAGAATGTGTCAAATACTTTTGACAGGTATTCTGAAGAAATAGGTTCAAAGGTTTAGTCTTCTAATTTTTAAGTTTTATAGAATCTGGCATGACTGAATTTCTCATCATTTATTCAAAGCAAACCTCCAAGCCTTTTTAAGACTTCATGCATCTGAATTAATTTATTAGCATAACAGAGAATTGGTTTGCTCTTGCCTCTATTTGAAGTGACCACGTATTTCACAAGAAAACAGTGAATAGGACAGAAATTTGAGTGACTTCAGGATGGTCTTAAAATCTTGTTCTACGGTTAGTTACTTATAGGAAACGTTCAAAATGATAATTAACAGTTAATTATGTAGTACAAAGACTGGGGAGATGGCCCAGCAGTTTAAAACATGTACTACCCTTGTAGAGCACCCAAGTTTGGTTCCTGGCACCCACAAAAGGTAGCTCACAGCCATTGGCTCTGGGAAAGCTGCTGCCCTCTTCTGGTCACTGCATACACCTGCACTCTGTGCATCCACAAGCACACACACACACACAATTTAAAACAAATCTTTGGCCAGGTGTGGCTGCACGCACCTTTATTCCCAGCACTCAGGAGGCAAAGACAGGTGGATCTCTGATTTCCAGGCCAGCCTGGTCTACATAGTGAGTTCTAGGACAGCCAGGGCTATGTAGAGAGACCTTGTCTCAAAAAAAAATTTTTTTTTAAATTTCAAAAATATGTATAGCAGTTTTCATTCAAGCTAAGTTTTGTTAATTTTGCACCCATGCTTACTATTTATGTCTTGAATTTATGATAAAGGTGTAAATTTTCTTTCTAGTTCTGGCCTCATCTGGCATAGACTATGACATCAAGATCTGGTCGCCACTGGAAGAGTCGAGGATTTTTAATCGAAAACTTGCTGATGAAGTAAGACTTTTACTATACTCTATTTTAATTTTTATCTAAAATGCTATCTCAAGAGAAAACTAGTTTGTTAGTTGCTAACCTAAAACAGTCATTCAGTTAAGGAAGTCAAATTTTTAATCTCAGCATTCATGATGCATAGGCAGGTGGATGTCTATGAGTTCAAGGCCATCCTGGTGGTCTGTATAGCAAGTTCTAGGCCAGCCACAGCTATATAGTGAGACCAGGTCTCAGGAAAAGAGGCGGAGAGAGAGGAGGTCAAATTTTTTGAAAAAGAAAAATGAAATAAAAACATCTATGGAGCATTTGGCTGGTTAAGCATTCAAGCTTTTGAGCAGTAATTCAGCTGAGACCCATTCTGGATGAGGACTCAGAGGCTTCCAGTCTGAAGAAACAGGACCAGCTGAGGAACTGGTGAGTTTCAGGCAAGTGAGAAACCAAAGTTAAAACCACCATGGTGTTCTCAGGCTGATTGAGCAACTCTACTTGCAACCAACCAACCAACCAACCACCATTGTAAAAATGGTGCTGTTTGGAGGTATAGTAACACAGCAGGGAACTTTGACTAGTTACCCCAGTGTTGATACCATTTGACAGTTAGGGCCATCTTAGTATGAATACTTTGAGTAACAAAACACTGGCTTGTTTATTTCCTTTTGAAGACCATGTAGATTGCCTTTCTCCCCGCCCCCTGAGCACACTTGAGTGTGCTAAGGCCTATGGGTAAGACAGAGCCCGTATGCTTCAAGTTAAGTGTGTTTAGAAACTTTCTATGACTTTTTGAATATGAAAATCATCTTTTTGTAGTGTTTGAAATATATTAAAGCCACTTACATGATTTGAGGAAGTCATTTGTGTTTGCTTCCTGGCCAGGGTACATATCATATACAGCCTTGTGTCAAGTGAAAGGCCTGGACATTTGGATTGATTTTTCTGGATGCAGGTCTTTTTTTGATCCCTTTGTTTGAAAATCCTCACTGGGCCTAGACCATTTAGCATGTTGCCTATGAAATGTGTTAGATTTGCCTTCTCTTTCTTGCTGGCATAGTTATGTTCTATTAAAAAAAAAAGTGGTTGCATCCTATTTCAAATACCACCATGAATAAGGCTGCACGACCTAGAGCATTTGAGGAGTCTGGGGCCAGAATTGAGTTCCACTTCCCTCTGGTGTTCTTATGTTTGTCCAGGGGCAGAGTTTTCTTAAAAACCTTAAGGAAGGTCTGCAAGTATTCATCTTTACTTGGCTCTCAGCAGGATAAAGTCATTTCTAATGCATAGTTGTTTACCTTTTAAATTGTATTACTGTTGATCAACTCTGATCTGTAGTTGATATGTCTGTAGATACTATATTCTTATACTGAATGCGCTTACAGCACAAATCTGTGCAGATGTAAACAATTGCCAACACCCTCTGTATGGACCCAGTTCAGGTGGAATTGTACAAATAAAATTTGGAGAATAGTTAAAAAGAATCACTATGGTCTGAACTATAATTTTGACTGTATTCCAGCCTGATTTTTGAAGGCTAAATAACAACTTGAAAGGAGCTAAGCATAAGCTCATACAGCCATATCTGCACATGTGTCTTGGGGAGACACCAGCCAGCCATGCTGCTTTAGCCACCTGAGGCAGCACTCTGCTCCTTTGGAGAAGGGAAGGGTGTGATGCTTGGAAGAATGGGGGACCATGGGAGGGGCCCTTTTCAGTCTGCTGTGAAGCTTTCACCTCCCCCACTGCAGTAGCCTCACAAACACAGACATCGGCATGTGCATTTGCATACACATCACTTGACATTTCTGTGTCCTCATAGGTCATTGCTCAGCTCTCAAGCCAAAACTAGGGACTGATTTAGTAATAGAAGAGGCTTGTTAGAAATGAGGCCACTCTCTATAGGCCTCTCAAAGGCTCTTCCTTTGATGAGACAGTTGAAGCAACTCTATTCAAATATCAGGTGTGTGGACCCAGAGCATCAGCCATCTTTCCGAGCCCCTCAGCATCTTTCTTGAGAACAGCTTGAACATGGAGGGAAGAAGCCATTAACAACAGCTCAGCTTTTATGTTTCTTTGCTTCAAGTATGTGTTGTAAGTCTGAGTTCCACCACCACCCTCTCGTCCTTTGAGGAATACCCTACCACAGAACTGAATTCACATAAATAATAGGCAGGCTACTGAGGCCATACAAATCAGAGCTAGCATTGCTCATTCACACACAGGATGGAGCAGGAGAATGAGAAGCCAGCTGGTTCAAGTGCCCCACAGTCCACTCAGAATGCCTGGATTCTCAGCAAAGAACAAATGAAAACGGGGAAAGGAGGGACAGACAAGAAGAATGGATTCCAAGATGAAGACTTTGTATATAAACAGGGAGTTGAGAAATATGGAAATTTCCCTGAAGGAAGAAATGAAGAGAATAAAAGCAGTTGTGGGATGAAAAATAACCTATAAATTATGCTTAACTAACTTACTGAATAAATATAAATCATAGTTACATAAAAAAATCTATGATACTAAATGTAAAAATCAGATCTTACTAATTGTAATATTGACTTTAATAACAGATTAGAGGTATATCCTAGAGAAAAATAAGTTTGATCGTCCCTCTTACATATAACAGAAAGCATGAAAAAGGTCTGTCCTTTTAAGAGTGTTTTAGCTGCAAACAAATTGATTTTGTGGCCTGTAATTCACCTCCTACCACCCAGGAAGCTGAAGCAAGCGTTCTGGTCACACTGAGCCACATGTCAAGACCCTGTTGCAATAAGCAAAGCAGAATGGGGGTGGAGTGAGGAGCTAACCTTACTACACGCGACCCTCCCTCCAGGGTTGTAGACTTTTTACTTTGTCTGCTTTGATTTTTTACAGAGGGAATTAGGATTGACACACACACACACACACACACACACACACACACACACACACACACACACACCAGTGTCAATAGGTAGAACAACAAATGATCAGATAATTTTTCTTTATGTTTTAAGACTCCCTTAGTTCTTTGGTCTTCCTCATTTTCATTAACATTTTTAGCTAGCATACAAAATGATGAGTCTCAGTGAGGGAGGGAGGGAGAGGGAAAAGGAGATGATTTCACATACTTACCATTGAACCTTAAGCATTCTTACTCCCTCTCTCCTTCTTCTCTCCCGTAGCTCATTGGTCCACATCTTCCCCCAAGTCTTCCTTCTGCGTTTCACTTCCGTGTGTGTGTGTGTGTGTGTGTGTGTGTGTGTGTGTGTGTGTGTGAAGTTCTGCATCTGAGAAAAACACAGCTATTTTGTCTTTGTCTTCCTGTTAACCCTCTCTTGCTCTTTTTTCCTTAACACCCTTCCTCCCAACTACTACTTACCCTTCTGCTTTCATGCCATATAATACAGTCTTCATAGCAGAGAAAAACATACTATATTTGTCTTTCTGAGGCTAGCCTATTCAACTTCACACAGGAATCTCTTTTCTACCCATTTTTTCTGCAAATGACATGATCTCACCCTTCTTTATGCTGACTTAAACATACATACATTTTCTTTATCCGTGGATCTCTACACTGGTTCTGTAGTTTGGGTTCTGTGAGTACTGCAGCAATTGTGGGAGACCGTTCTCAGGTTCCTGGTGGCTTTACCCAGCAGGTCTGCATGGAGGATGATTAGGACCACGGGCCTGAGTGCAGGTGTCTAAGATGGTCCGCACTTGGCTGTGCTGGGGGGAGGTCTTTTGCTCCACCCCTTGGTGTCTCTATAAATACCCTGGGGCACAGGCCCTGGGGCTCATTGGAATAGGTTCCAGGCCTTCTCGAGGCTATCCTGTATTTTCTATCTGTTTATCTCCACAATCTAAATGCTTCTATCTAATATTTCCTGCTGCTCGCACTCAGGAACACTCTGGGGAACTGTGGGGTTGTTGGGTAAACGCCCTGCAAGCAGTAAACATGTATGCATGCGTATCTCTAAGGTATGCTGGCTTAGATTCCTTTGGGTGTAAACATAGCAGTGATATGGTTGATTATAAGGTAATTCTATCTGCAGTATTTAAGGAAGCTCCTTACTGATTCTGATAGGGCTGCACCAGTTTCTGTTTCCACCAGCAGTGTGATCTGGCTCTCTTGTCACACTTCCTCTCCAGCATCTGTTGTCATCTCTTATCCTGATGATAGCCATTTTGATTGCTGTGAGGTGATGGCTCAGTGTGGATCTTTTATTAGTGTTTTGATTGGGAGTCTCACTTGACAGCCTCAGCTGGCCTAGAACCAGCTATGCGGACCTGGCTGGCCTAGAACCAGCTATGCGGACCTGCCTGGCCTCACATTTGCAGTCATCCACCTGCCTGTGGCTTTGCAAGGGCTAGGATTAATGTGCACACACCTCACCCAGCTCCTGCTCTAGTGTGCTTCCCTGCCGTATTGAACATTTTCTTTCTATTTATGGGTCACTTGTATTTCCTTTGAGAACTTTCTGTCCAAGTATTTTCTCCATTGGTTGGATGACTTGGTTTTTAATATTTAATTTTTCTGCTGTCAGACATACAGTTTACACAGATTTTTCTCCCATTCTGTAGACTTGTCTTTTCACTATGTTAATGGGAAGAAGCCTTTTAATTTGTCCAGTCTTGGAATTATTTCCTAAGCTATTAGAGTCCTTTTCATAAAGTCCCTCTCTGTGCTTATATCTTGAAGTATTTTCCCCTAACACTGATAGTTTCAAGTCCTACTTTAATGATCCATTTGGAATTGAATTCTGGACAGAATTAGAGAGGTGGTTATAATCTCATTCTACAGGGGATTTCCAGTTTTTCCAGCACCATTTGACTAAAAGACTCTCTCTCCAGTTTGCTTTTTTTTACATACTGTAGAAGTCCTCCACTTTCTCAGTCGGTTCATTCATGGGCATCTGAATGGATTTTGATTGTGGATTTTGTTTGTGGATTTTGATACTGTTGTGAATGGGGTTGTTCTCATTTCTTTCTCAGTATGTTTGTTATAGGGAAATAGGAAAACTACTGGTTATGTATGTTGGGTTTGTATATTTCCACTTTGCTTGTGGAGGGGGGCAAGAGAGTATAAAAGGGACCAAATATGATCAAAGTACAAGATATGCTTGAACTAAGTAAGGTAATTATGAAACCTGTCATTTTGTACAACAAATATAAATTAATTTTTTAAAGTAGTGCTGGTCTTTGATCTTCCTTTAACTCAAGTTAAAGTAATTGTTTGACATTGCCTTAAGGCAGAAATCCAGACATTACACATAAAAAGAATGAAAAATATTCCTCCTAAGACTTGCTGATTTTTAAAACTGTTTTCATAATCTTTAAGGCAAGGATGTATGAACTTTGATACAGTTGTTTAACTTGCTGTAGGTTATAACTCGAAATGAACTCATGCTGGAAGAGACTAGAAACACCATTACCGTTCCAGCTTCTTTCATGTTAAGAATGTTGGCGTCACTGAATCATATCCGAGCTGGTAAGAACTTCTACTCTATCATTAAAGTTGTTATTTGACCTGAAAACAGTAAGCCCTACTTTACAGACATTTCTATGGTTTTCTTAATATCCAAAAATGAAAGCAACAACTTCAGAAATAGGATGTCTTTCTGTGAACACTTGACCTTAGCCCAATGAACTATTTCCTTATAAACTAAGTTTATTGAAAAACGGTAAAATGAAAACACAGTCACTTGAGAACTCTTTATTAGGCAATCTTCTCATAATACAGAACTGTACCATAAGCCTCTAGACACATTGTACTGCTGGGTGTGGTACACACTCCAGTGATCTAAACACAAGGGGAGTAGAGGTAGGGAGGAACAGGTGTCCAAAGTCACCCTAGGCTACACAGTAAGTTCAAGGCTAGCCTGAGAGATAGGAGATCCTGCCTCAACTAACAAAAAAAACAAAAATATGAACAAAGTTGTGCCCAATACACTTTAACATAGATTTATTAAAAATCAATAATGCCATGATTAAAAACAAATATAACATGGTAAGAAAGAAAGTTATATTAGTGCATTTTTCAATAATTTTTTAAAAGATTTATTTATCTTTATGTGTATGGGTTTGGCCTGCATGCATATCTATGTATCATGTGTATGCAGTGCCACAGAGGCCAGAAGAGGGTGTTGGATCCTCTGGAACTGAAGTTACAGACTGTGGTTTTCTGCTTGTGGGTGCTGGGAACTGAGCCTAGGTCAGCAATAAGAACAGCAGGTGCTCTTAACTACTGAGCCATCTTGCTAGCCCATCAATACTTTTTTAGATGATAAACAGTGGTTCAATGACACAAATTCAAAAACTACATATATTACAACTGATACTCAAGAGTAAATTGCACAATCCGTATTTATAATAATGGAATCATTATACAGTGTGTGTTATGACAACATTTTATCAAGCAGGAATGTTTATCACTTTTCACTGATTTCATAAATGTGTTCATATGTTAGGTATTATGCATCATTTGTAGAGTACCTATACTGTATCAAATATTAACTCTTTATTATTTATTTATTTATTTATTTAAGATAGAGTCTCTGGCCGGGCGTGGTGGCGCACGCCTTTAATCCCAGCACTCGGGAGGCAGAGCCAGGCGGATCTTTGTGAGTTCGAGGCCAGCCTGGGCTACCA